ATTACATATATAATAAAATTTAGAGGTGGTTGAAGTCAAAACTTTAATAGGAGTTTAACTTGTTGTGGAAGATGTTACTATTTAGGTAGAATGGATGGGATGTGAGGCGTGCTGCCTTAGTCTTATATGCCTAACAACCAAAAGCTATATTGTAGACGATGGTTTTGTATAAAATTAGAGGACTTTGTTTCAAGCGAAGAAGGAAAATTAACATCAGGAACAAGAGGTTTCACTCTCCTAACCGCTTGCAACTTAGAGCTTTCCTTTCTTTAATGAATTATCAAAACTATGCACAGATCTATTGAGGTCCATCTCCATAGCCTCAAACATCTCCCCCACTAATGGCTAGTTTGGGCTACTCTGGCCTCATTGTCAATCTTCTAAGCATGACTAGCCATCAGTTGCAGCTGGAGCATAGGAAATGATTCATCAGACGATGAGTTAAAGGACCGTGACCAAAATAGATAAGACTTAAGAGAGATGGTATCTGCATGACAAAATAGGTTTGGAAAAGGTGTTTCTCTTGCATTATCATGCAGGGAAGCCTAATGTTCATGTTCCTCCGTTGTTTCATTGTCATCCTCATGGTATCATTAAGCAAAGGAAGATGATTGGTAACCTGAATTTTCATATTGTTTGGTTCTGGAATAGAAATATGTTGCTTGAGCTTTCATAAATGTGGTGCACCCCCATGAGAATTAGATGCCATGAGTGCAGATACAAGCAGAAGGATGGAAGATGAGAACCCTTTTTGAAAGCTTAAGGGAAGTTGTGACCGTCATTTGCCAAATCAGGTATAGTTATATTGGACAAAACTGGTTTTATTGGAGGAGGATTTGCGGTCGATGGCTGAGTCATTGAGATTCCTTTAAAATTTTGTCTTATCGTTTACGTCCAACTTTTGTCAATTTCTTGGTCATCAAAAAGGGGTCAAAATGGCTGTCCATATTCCTTCTCCTTGAATTATCCATAGGGCATCACCCACAGTCACTCACACAATCTACCCTTGAACAAAGCATTTGTTGCATCTGGTCCAAGAAGTCCTCCTCCTTCCATTCGTCATAATACTTCCTAGGCACTTCATGTTATTCTCTGCTCTTGGTCATAGTATTGGGTACATCTAGGCCTAGGGATAAAGGTGTCATAAATGGCTTTCTTTCTCCGAACTCTTACAAATTGAAGAGAGTTATCTCCATATGTTAACCCCACTGGTGTTGAATGAACTGTTTTGGAATTGCATGCCACTATATATAGGGAAAGCTTTCTATACTTCCCTGCATGCCACTATATATAGGGAAAGCTTTCTATACTTCCCCTACAGCATACTTTCCCTACAGCATAGAAGATTTATGCTTCTCCTACCATCCAGCTGTCCAATTTTGATCAAGAGTCACTTGCTGTTTGATCTTAGATTCGACGTCTCAAAGAGTCACTCACCATATATATATATATATATATATATATGGTCTTAAAGATACAAATTTAAATTTGAAATTAGGATTTGAACATTGTACTGATGCTTAGTAAGTTCAACATGGCTTCCCACTATATATATATATATATATATATATAGATATGGCCTTAAGGATACAAATTTGAATTTGAATTTGAATTTGGATTTTTGAACATTGTACTGATGCTTAGTAAGTTCAACATGGCTTCCCAGTAGACTTTTTCCTCCAACAGGCTAGAGACTTCTTGGTTGAGTTGGATCTATGGGCCCCACTTGATCTCCCCCCAATTTTGAGTATTACTGATGTTACAGCCATGGTGGAAGCTTGTCTACAGCCAACCTGGGGCTGATCTACTACGAGAATAGACTCAAATTCCCTCTAAACATATTTAAAAATAAATATGTGGGGTCCTGTCGAATTCTAACTCAAAGGTGATTAGATCTTACTCAAAAGATTAAACCCTCAATAAGTCGTACATGGTGCCAGTTGTAATCGTATCAAAGCAGAAATGTACTAAAAGAAATGCAAAGCACAAAATAATATAGAAGCACAGAAGAAGTACTACAAAAATGAAAATAAACAAAATTAGGGTTTCTTAGGTAAGGTTAGGCAATTAGGGTTTATTTTGTATGCCAACCCTTTGGAGGTAAAAAATTAGGACTCAGTGTAAGAAATTAGAAGGCGGCAATCTAAGCCACTATGAAGCTGACAGTTAGCCACACCGCACTCTGCAGAAAAAAGGTCTTTGACTTCTGCATCACAAATTCTGGCGTGACCAGTTAACCAACTCTACATGATGTAGATTTTCTCAGGGTTTGGATTCAAGGGTATTTACTCTCCAAATTGTGGTCAAAATTACCTGGCTAAATGATTTTCTAAATTTCTCCATTTTTCCTTTGAAGAACCTGCCTTATTTGAACATTTGGGTTTCTAAATTGGGATTTTATGAGATTTGGTCAATATTTGAGATTATTCTAGGCGTGGCTATATGGTTTGGGATTACTATGGCTTGATGGTCCCTATTGTATTGGACTAGTGTGATCCCTAAGATTTCAATGGGCCCTTCTAAGGTGTTTCTTACAAATTTAGGGGTCGTTTTCTATGCCTTAAGATCTAGAAATTTAAAGAAAAACATCAGTTCCAAATTGGCTGTCTATAAAGCTTGGTCATTCTTTTCTAGCGATGACCTTCCACTCCTAGATTTCTTTTGCAACTGTAAATTGATTCCCCAAATGCCTCGCATGCGGAATTACATTGATCACTTTTCCATTACAAGCACTTTGGTAGCCTTCCTTACCATATTCATTTGGAAATAATCATCTATAACAACAGAATCAATGCTTTTGAAATTTCTTTTCTGGGGATTTGTTGAACGTTCAATCTCAGACAGCATAACACTTGTCTTGCCATGGTTTTCCAATCGACTTCAACAAAATCTTCCACATTCCTCACCCACTTGTTTAAACACTTCGTTGCCCAAGCATGAGTGAGAATTCATTCAATCCTTAGCATATATGATTTTGGCATAAAAAGTGAGTGGTTTTCTTTAGGAGGCAACCATTATAAAGACATGAGTAAGCTTTTGAATCTCCAAAGTGGATCCTTCCTTCCATCTTCCTCTATTACAAACATTAGTAGGCAAAATAGTATAGGCTCGGCTCGCTATAGCTTCATTGCTTGCTTGCACAGTTGGATGGGGGAGCTTTCTTTGCCAGCATCGAGTGGCACGACGTGGAGTGCGACACAACCTCCAAAACATTCTTGTACACCCCCAAAATCCTCCAAGCTACCAGAGAAGTCTCTAATCCGTAAAAGAAGTCTCTAAGGGACCGTTTGGATACCTGAAAATATATTATTTGTGAAATATATTACTAACGTAATACATTACCTGTAAATGGATTGTTACTGTTTGGATTATATTTAGATGCAACCTAGAAAATACATTGTTATTGTTTAAATATGTCTGGAAGAAATATAGAAAATGCATTACCAATATTTTACCAGCACATGCCTATAAACTATCATTTCTTTTTTTTTTGTCACAAAATTCCACTAAAATGCAGAATTATCATTTCCTTCTTTTTTGTCACAAAATTCTACTAAAATACTGAATTAAAATCATCATCACACCATTCCAAAAAGATTTCTAATAATAATATTATCACCATTCCAAAAAGATTTTGTAATAATAACTTATACCATTTTACAGTCATGACACTATTTCCTACTTATTTTAAGTGCCTTTGGCACTTACATGCAATCACATGTTTTCTAACATGACATTGGTTTCAACATGATAAGTCCTTGGAACAATATGATTGGAATAACATGATTTTATTATGATAAGCCTTATTTTTATTTATTTTTTTATAGAAGTCTTTCAAATGTCTCTCCATATAATTTCAAATAAAAAATAAATTTATGATACTAAATTCAAAATCTATAGTGTACAAGTTAAAAAATGAGAAGAAGTTTAATTAGTAAACGAGAAGATTTGGTAATTGCAGTATAAAATTTTGAAGTAATTGAAAGACACTAAAGAAGTATGTTATTTCAATTGAAATTTTAATAATCTCTTACGAGGATTATGTTGTGTGAAGTTTTATATTATGATTGTGTTGTGTAATTTATCATTGATTACTGATTTTTATTTTTGTTTTAATATGACACCAATGCTTTTAGATGAGGGGAAGAGCTTAAAAAAAAAAAGGATCTCATTATGTTGTGTGAAACTTTTTATTATGATTGTGTTGTGTAATTTATCATTGATTACTGATTTTTATTGTTATTATTTCTATAAGTATGATAACTTTGGAAAGAAACTCCTTTGCTCAATGGTTAAGGGGTTATGAGTTTCAGAACGGATAAAGGGATCTAATTAATAAACAGTTTGAAAGTAACCTCCCTGCTTATCTACTGACTAGTTTAAATAAAAACAATGGTACTTTGGCCGGAAAATCTATTAAATGAATTTGCAAGTTGGGATGGACCTTTCGGACACTAGACCCTCGCCCTCATGTCCTAATCACCAAAAAGATAGGAATGTCTCTTAGTTTCTAATAAAGTGAAGAGGTTTTGCTGGTTATCATTAGTCAAGGACATCAGGGTAGGTAATATGCATACAAAGTAGAGAATTGCATTTAATATGATTGGAGCGCTCGCTTTACTAAAGGACATCATTTTAATGCTTTTTGGAAGTGCCTTGGTCAGAGAGAGCAAAATAGAGGATATAAGAAATTTCTGCATGAAAAGATTGCAGAAAATATCGACAGAAGCCACCATTGTTGATGGACCGGTTTAATTTTCCACTAACTGATATAAATACCTACCAACCCCATCCCCAGGTCCACAACCAAACCTCTCTCTCTCTCTCTGAGGCAAACTGAAAGTTTTTTCTCCCCTGAGACACAAGTTGCCCAGATTTGAATCAAGTTGGGACACCTTTCATTAATACTTCAAAAAAGTTGGGACATATTTCATATCAATATGCTGGCTATAATAACTATGTACACATGCATTAGGCTGAATCCCAAGGACAAGAGGTAGACAATTTGAACCGGCATAAATAAATCAAAAGTGCAGCATGGATGGTGAAGGAGGTTTCAGCTCATCAGAATATCTAAATCACTCATTTGGCTTTGCATGCACAAGAAGGAAACCATTAGTGATGGCTTTTGGTTCCTGAGGAAACTCCATTAAGCACATTACCAGGCAACAAAATAAACCTAACATCTACCCAACAACCATTCATGCTGCAAAAAATGACCAAAAACAATAAAAAGGATTTTCAGGGCTTACAGATAACAACAAAGCAAGGAAGCAAAGCTCTAGGATTGAGCAAATAAAGTTCCTCAATGTTAGAATAAAGACCCACTTTTCCAGCCACTGAATCGAACCCAGATTGGCCTGATAATGCCTGCATATTATCCAAAGGCCTGTGAACTCTCCCAGCTATCACTCTACAAACAAGTAGAGCCTTCCTTAAAGATGGATTTTCTTCAAATAACTCAATGGATTCATAAGCCCTTCCACTTGTGGAAGTTGTGAAGACTCCTATTCCTCCTTTGCCTTCCTTCTTTGTAGAAAACCCATGTCGGATAATACGGCAAACACTGCATTTTTCAGAGTTGCAAAGGTTTGAAAAGCCATTCATGCCAAGTGAACAGGTAATGGTGCTGCCATAAAACCTTAATAGCTCGTTTCCATCAGCTAGGCAACGGGGGTGTTTCTTGGGAAGTTTGCTAGCCTTGATCTTTACCATCTCTCTATATTCTTCAAACCGAGCAAGAGTCTTTTGCATGTTGTGGACCTTCAAGACCCTCTCTATTCTGCCACAGTTGTTCTCAGACTTTAACCAGCTTGTTCTGCATATTATCTCTACTATCTTTCTTGAGGAATCGCCTTCTACTAGTTCTGTGACTGTGGAAACCAGGAGGAAACATAAGCTTTGCGAAATCTAATTTGAATTTGGTGGGTGGGCCTTCATAAAGAAACTTAGATGAAATTATCAATGAATTCTAGTGCATTACAATCATATAAGCACACACAGCAAAATAACCCACATGTGTGAAGCAAATTCTATCCTAATTCTCTTCATGGCAAAAAACTGAATTGAGTTCATATATCCCCTCAGTGAACTATGCTAACTGCAATCTTTTCTTCCCTTATTATCTATCAGAAAATAATCCCAATCACATCAATCTTCCGATGTTGTCACTCTTTCGGAAACTATGTTGAACACTTTTAGAATATGACCAAAACCGTGTCGTTCACCTAGTGTTACGATGGTTTCCAACGCACAACTAGTTATTGTTAAGTTCATATCCCTGAAATATATTGCTGCAACTTGTGAATGAGGATATCTTGTGCTTAATTCTTTATTTGATATTATTAAACATGTGCCATAGGGAGCTTTATTCCCCCAAAAAAAAGTAAAGTTCATATTCCTGAAATTTCTCTTATTTCTCTACTCAAAAACAGGATATATTCAAAGGAGGTGAATGAATTGGAGATGTCAATAATTCAGCACAAGAATCATCATCTTTGATAGTGATTAAACCATAAATCATGACTTGAATGTTCAAAATGAGTACAAGAACACAGATGAACCGTACTTTTTAACTTTTATAACTCACTATCCTGCCAAGTCAAATTGACTAGGGTTAGTTTTTGCAATTCTAAAAGAGTTTTTATTCACTCATTTAAACACTTGAACACTTCTTGAAAGTTATTAACAGTTCAATAAACAATCACACAAAAACTACAATGGAGTTGACTACAGGCATAACAAACACCAGAAATCAATTATTTAGACAGAGATGGAAACCTAAAAAGTTGATCAAGAGAATATATTTCATCAAAAGGGAAAAATATGACAAACACAAACATAGAGATGGGAAGTAACTGACACCTTTAGAGGTGATCAAAGGACTAATCATGATCTGCACACATAGTGCAGCTACTGCAATCCAAAAAATTGAATACATAACAAATTAGTGGAAACAGAAAATGAAGGCTCCTTGTCAACCTGCTAAATTTGGAGGACAACAAAAATGATTCAAGCAAGCACCTTGAGAAAAAACTATAGAATGAGTAACTTGACTATTGTATTAATAATTTAAGGAAGTCCAAAGTATGGTAGATATAAAAACAGGCATTCCCCCCTTCCTGGGTGCCTTAAGTATAGTGATTCCAAAGGACAGTAACGAACAAAGAAAAGGCTGACGGGCTCGCGCCGCCACGATATGTTACTTGGTATGAATTTTGAAATGTCAAGAAAACATAGGTATAAGTCTCAATAACCAAACGAGAAGGCATTCAAAGTAGCAAAAGAGGCATAACAAAGATATATTCATTACATCCAAAGAAATGATTGCAATAGATTTAACACTATTGTTGCCAAAAGTTATAACAATATACTCTGCCAGATCCAAAGGATATCTATGGGGAATTTATGCTTGCAAAGAACAAAAACACCAACGAAGTGTAAACAAAAATCCAAAAAAACTTAACTTACAGAAGATGAAGGTCCATGGCTGCATAACCAGGTGAGCCAAATACATTCCCCCAGATTTAAAGGAGCTAATGCCACAGTAGAGATTATAAACTAACAAAACTTACTGATGACCCAAGAACTGAGAAACGAAAAAATAGACCAAAGAAAGGGCCCCAGGCTAAATCACAAAGTTATGAGCTACCGAATCTGGGAAAAAGCAGAACTGAAATCCAAGAAAAGCAAACACTAAAGACAGAGAAAGCAGAGGAAGTACTTCTCACCGGCATGCTTAGAGAGATGATGAGTTTCTAAAGCCTCCCACTTTGCATACTGCTCCCCACACTTGTGACAAGTCACACTCGAAAAATGGCCATCAGCCTCATGAGAAGACCTGCGACCCGATGTCGATAACCCAGTCCCGCCAAATATAGCAGTGGAAATAGAAGAGCCTCCATATTTGGAGCCATTTCTATCAGAGAAGAAACCAGGTGATTTCCTTGGAGGTGTAGTGGCACCACCTCTAAATGAAGGGCTACAGTTTACGGCATGGTGTCCTCCTGGACCAGGTGTACCAGGCCTTAATGTACCCACAAAAGTAGAGTCGCCGTCAGTGTGGCCATTAAAACCACTGATCTTGAGCTCACACTTAGAATTGCTAAGAATGACTTCATGGGTAATGGGGTTAAGGAACTCACTACTACCAATTGATCTAGGACTACAACTTGGTGGCTTTTCAATGTGTCTTTTACTACCATGAATCACATCTTTAAGGTTTGATATGGACCTCGAACAACCCGATCTCCCTGTTTTTCTTGTGAGGATTGTGCTCAAATGGCGCCTAGACTTCGGATCATGGACCTCAGAGGGCTCTGATTTACAATGGAGCGATCTCTTTAGAGTGAACCAAACAGTGGGCATTTTCCCTTCCCTTTCCTTACTCTCAAGCATTTGTAAGAGCAACACCTCTCTGCAATTTTTTTCTATCTCTGGTCCTCATCAGGGACTTCTTCAAATGGGTTTTGCTTCCAATGGCTCTTTCTTAATTTCTGGAATGCGTTTCCCCATTGGAGAGAAGGTCGATAACTGAAGCTAAAGTTTACGAGTTGGGGACCTTGTCATGCTTCAATTGGCGGCTGTTTTTTGGAACGTCAGTCTGCCATTAAAGCTATTTTTCTGTAAACACACAGCAGAGGGCCAGAAAACCTTTTTGAATACATCCTAGATAAGGAAGGCTACAGAAGCTAAAAATTATTATCTTTTTAGAGAAGGAAACTCCTCTCTTCAATTACTTCTATCAGAGCTCAGCTTTCCAAAAAGAAAGATCTAAAATGAGTATGGCATGAAGCAAAAGCGCACAAAAGTTTGGACATCAGAGTGAATCTTCAAGGCCACGGAGAGCTTTCTCTGCAACTTCTTCCTGTTTTTGAAGTAAACCCTTTAGAGCACGGTGATGGTGATTTAATATGCCTCAAAACCCAAAAGGCAAGTAACCTCGAAGACCAGCGTCATGAATGGGAGGAGAACCCTCAAAAACACTGGTGAAGAAACTCAAAACAAAAAAGTTTGGTAAGAAAGACTGCTCTTCCAGAACTAGAGCTTCTCGGAAATTTTTTCTATTTTGGGATAGCAAACCACCATTAAAAGTGAACCCACTTTCTATCATTCAAAAAAAAGTGACACCACTTTCACACATGCAATCAGACGATGAGGAATAAAAACTAACCCCAAAAGAACCTTGACGTAAACACAAAGTGGCAACAAATTTTCAAGGTTGTACAGAGCTTCTCCTGCAGTTTCTTCCCATTTCTAGAAGGTATATCCATCATTGAAGCAGAGCTCTAGTAAAACTCAGCTGCTTCAAGAAAACAAGCAAGAAAATGACCCATGAGCTTGTTCTTCACAGACTCCATAGCTATGCAGCTTCTCTCTCTGCAATCCCTTTCAAAATGCGAGCACATTCATCCACCATTGGAGCTGGCATATCACAACGCAGAAAAATCACTCTTTTTTTGAATGATTCAGAGGAGAAATTAACCTCAAACCAGAAACCAAACGAGCACCACAAAACGAAGGGCTAGCCCTTGCAAGAGACAAGCAATTTTCTATGTGCTAAAAACAAAAACCCACATAAAAATATTCAGAAAAACAGAGGGAAAAGGGCATTACTTACTAATTTTAATAAACGAAGAGCAGTGTGCATCACCAGTAAATAGACGCACAGACTCATCATAAGTCCGAAGATCGAGACATTTAAAGCATTAAAACATCTATTTTAAGTATTTGGATGTTTATAGATCTGCATTTAAATTTTTATAATTAAATATAAAAATAAATTTTCAAATAATCCTAAAAACTCTTTACACTAAAATTATATCTTATCATAAAATTTAGTGCGCTTTGGATTGTTTAAGGTTGTATAGAAACGAGATACCAAAAAGTATATATTTAATCCTAATTTTCCCAAACAAAAAGACAAAGAATTTAGTAGGAAATTTGAGAGAGGGGGAAGGTGGGAAGCTTGGAGGAAGGAAAGGTATTTAGAAGCATATATTTTCATTTCAGTTATTTAATAAAATCAAATTGTGAAATGGTTATTTAACTTTAAAATAAAATTTACTCCCATGAAATCCCAGTACCTTCCCCACTTCTTAACTCGAGACGGAACACGTGGTATTTAAAAGCGGAGTCTTTCATGGGAATTAAATAACAGTTTACTAAGTCTCTCACTTGCGTACGAAGTAATTAATTTTTTGTTTTATGTGAAGTTTCTTAAATATACATAAATTTCAAAGTGGATGATTTTCGATCATTTTTTTAAAAATCTCAAAATTAGTGCATCTTGCAAGATATTATCTAGACTGTCTATTTTTAATATTTGTATATATTTATAGATCTACATTATTTTAATTATTTTTAAAATTTAAAATTTTATAATTAGATATGAAAATAAAATTTAAGATAATCCAAATAATTTTTTACACTAAAATTAGTTGTTATAATAAATTTGGAGGTGAACCTTAATTGGATTGTTTAAGATTGCAACCTTAAAAAAACCACAAATTGTTTTTTCTATCTGTCGCCAAGTAAAGACCTTATTCTTTTTAGCAAAAAGAAACACTTCTAAATACACTTTTCTATTCTTCTTCTTCTTCTTCTCCTTTTACCCTTTAACCGGGATTTATTATAACAATAAAGTCATTTCGCCGTAATGTGTGTCGGACTGGTTTTATTAGATAAAAAATAGCAAAGAAACATTCTTTTGAATGGGGTATTTGAGTTAAAAAAATCATTTTTTTACCTAGAAGTAATTTAAAAAATAAATAGTTTTGAAGTTCATGATGAAATTTAAAAAATATTGAGGGAGGACAATGCCTAAAAAGTTGAGTCAAGGGGTATCTACAATTTCCCTCTGTTTTTTAGTTTGGGATGTGAATCTACATGGATAACTTAATTTTGGAACTAAAAACTAATTTCAATATTTATCAATTTTTACACTGTCATTTTTTATGAATTGTTTTACCCAAAATACCATATTTGAAGCATAAGACTGCATAGCCTTCGTTAGGTCTTGCATGTCAAGTGTTGAATGAAAATTTTCGAAAAAACTCAAATCTAGTACTTGAAATAGAACTAACTTTATAATAAAAATAATAAAATGCCGGACCAAACCTATGACAAGTGCATTAGCCGAAGTCAATCCATGAAATGTTGGACCACCTTCTTAAATAAATTTTTTGGAATATAGCCCTATGGGCTTTAAGAAAATAGAAAATGAATAGATTTTTCGTATGGAACTTGAGTTGTCGGAGTAAAGGTATTTTAGGGAAAAAAATTTGACCAAAGAAAAGGGACCTCGGCTAAAGTAAGTAAATATGGGGAGTTTTTTTTAATTTCAAAAAATGGCATTTACTATGTTTCCATTTTTTAGCATAATCATGTCAAATTTAAATTTATAAATTTACATGATAACTTAGTATTTTTCTTTTATTTTTTTTTGCAATATTTTGTATTTAATTTACTTTACAATTATATCCTTTGCAATAATTATTTTTACAAGCTTTTTAGGTGTGGAATATTTGTTTATGGGGTTGCAACCGTGAAAAAATTTTATATAGGGTTGCAGTCTGAAAATGAAATGTAGAATTATGGTGCACCCCAAAAATCCATCAGAACGGTTGTTTTGATGTTACAAAACCTTCTAATTGATTATCTAGACATAGAGATGTATGAATATGAAAAGAAAAGAAGATTTTGAGCCCTTAAAATAGCATATCTTGCAACACATTATCTAGACCGTCTATTTTTAAGATTTAAAGTGTTTCTAGATCTTCTTAATTTGAACTATTTTTGGAGTTTAAGTTTTTATAATTGGATATGAAAATAGATTATCAAGTCATCCTAAGAATTTTTTATACCAAAACTATATTATGATAAAAATTTAAGGTGTGCCTTAATTCAATTGTTTAAAATTGCAACCTTATATGAACTACACCCTGCAACCTTATACCATAGAAGTAGGGTGCACCTCAAAAAACAGTTAGAAAAGAATGTTTTGAAATGAAAACCTTACAATTGATCATCTTGTCCTCTAGATAAATGAATCTAAAGAAAAAAAAGATTTTGATTTTTAAAAGAAATTATCTTGCAGCAAGTTATATAGACAATCATCTTTCAAAATTTTCAAGCGTTTATATATCTGCTCAATCTATACCAATTTTAAAATTTAAAAATTTAAAATAAAAATTGAACATGGATTTTCACCTTATCATAAGATGCCCAATGCATCTTCGCTCAAATTTAAAGGTGGGGCCCACTATAAAAACATAAAGTGGGTGCCTTATATCAGTTGAAAATTCCTGACCGATTGAGATCAAGTGATTAAAGTGGTAACAATTTTCTTTTTTATTTAATTCACAAGTCATTAACAAAAGTTAGAAAAACAGTACCACAAACAAAATGTCACGTTTGGGTTAAACCTAGAAAAGAACCACATCTATTTGAACCTAACTTTTCTCCTTTTTTACATTGTTTTCTACATCTCCCTCGCCTTTAGAAGCAAACAAAAGTTTCCCTTAATTTCCCCAAAAATATCATGCATCAGCCCCATAATTGGGTTGACAGGATTACATACAATGCTCAAAGATAATGAATCAAATTTTGAGGAGGGGTAGCCATGAGTCTGGTGGCTTGCCCTATAGCCCGAGACCCGGGCTGGGCCTAGGTAACGACAGGATCAGCACGGTTTGGCGCATCCCAGCCCAACCCTCGTTTTTTTTATATATTCTTTTATTCTCTCTAACCCTGTGCAACCCTTCTATTGCTACGGGAGGGCCCGGTCAAGGGCCTCTTTGGCCCATTCTGGACTGCCCCTATGGGGACCTGGGGCAAGCAGGCCCAGCCCGTTGCCCAATCAGATATATGTTTTCGTTTTGCGTCGTGTAGGCCCAATTGCATTTAATAAAGGCACATGCCAGATTCCATTCTGAGAAATAAATAAAGGGGGGGCTGCCATAAAGATTTCAAGAAGGTGGCAGACTTCCAATTTTAAATTTTAAATCAGAAGTCAGAATTTTAAATAACCAAAAAAAATGGAATTTGTAAGTTCGTGGTCGTACGTGGTGGAGACATGAGCCATGACCGAAAGTCAGGGAGAAGGCAATTTAGGGAACACCAATGGGATGTACTTGCAAAAGTTCCATAAATATGGGTACAAAATAAGTTACTATTACAATGAATTGATTGATTGGTAGGGGCTGAAAGCGGTGGCTCATTTAAAGTGGAGCTGGATTTCACATGCACAATTCCTATCACACAACTACACCAGCCACACCGCAATGCATATTTATTTGGATCCCAAATAGGTCATTTTCTTTTCTTTTTTTGAATATATATATATATATATATAAGAAATGATCCTATAGGACCCTTCCTCACCCATATGTATAGGATTATCATTAAATTTAGTACAGATCTATATAAAAGTTAAGTCCCACATTTATGTGATAACTTTTCTAGATATTCATGTCAACTTTAATGATGATCTTTTGGGATCCTACACACATAGGTGGGGGAGGGTCCTATAGGATCAGTACTCTAGATATATAAGGGGAATAATTTCATGGGACGGTTGTACAGTAGTATAATGCAACCACATCTCTAGAAAACCATGTTTTTGCTATTTTTATGACCTCAAATTTTGCACACACATTCTCTTCATCCCTATAATCAACCACAAGGAGAAAACAAAATTCAATTTGCACTCTAGATATGGTCAAAATTATTACTTTCTAACAATAAATCTTGACCATTCATTTGGTGAATTTCAATATCTAGGTCTTGACAAATTCAAAAGAACTTTTTTATTTTTTAGCATTGTTAATCTAATAATGATAACATCATATAAAAATTTTGGGAATAAAAAAAATCTTTCTGAGGCCTATATCTAACTATCTCACTAAAATGGATGGCTTATATTAATAGGGCTAGGAAAACACTTTCTAGTATGTTTTTTCAAAATTATCTTTTTTGTGATTGTTCTTTGGAGAAAAGAGTGTACATTTAAAAAATTGTGTCAAACAAATGTCTCTAACATGGTTTTTGAATAT